ATGTGATGACATTATTTCATAAATTCAGAACTAAATGAAAGAATATCCGAATTATAAGTGAACAAGAAGTTTAATGGGCCATCTGGCCACATTCAGTGCATATCGTCAGAACACACGCAGAAGTGACCTCTACAGGCAAAGGATCTGCGCCCAACTCGGGAATTATTGAACCCTTTCAGAAGATTGAGATAAATAATGCTGGCTAGAGTCGTGATCTATTGCATATATCATATCATATCCTAAAGATCAGTCGTCATTCTGGTTGGATTGACGATCGATTGCAACGTATACGTGTCGCTATCACTCAGCGATCTTCTCAGGATCGACTTTTTGCCGTTTCTATTTTTTCGTCGTCTTCTTCCAGAATCCGTTGTAATTGTTAACGTTGATTCAATGGTTCCAGTAGTCGAGGTGTCTTCCTCTAAAATTGTTGACTCAATTGAATTTCCATCTGCATTCTGAGTTTTTGCGTTCTTTTTGTTTAATGCCCGTTGATGCATCATTGATTCTGTTGAACATCTAGCTATTTCGAGTGTTGAGTGCATGTCACGCATCTGAAATGAGCTGTTTTATTCATAGCGATTGCATTTATTCAGTCAGTTCAGCTATACACTCTTCTATGAGTGAAATGGTTTTGTGCGAAGATGATAGCAATAATATATGTATTCAGCAATAATATACTTATGTATTTCATGCTTATGCATGTACTTGGGCATCTTTGAGATTGAAGCAAGAGAGAGAAAATGAGTTTGTTGCGATGTCAAAGTCGAATAGCGAAGAGCAAATGATATCGCACAGTGATCAGCAATGTTAGAAACGTTTCATAACATGGCCAGCCCACATAATAATGCCAATATCTCCGTGAACAAAAATGTCAGTCAGCGAATAATTTATTCACTGTCAATCCGTTAAAGATATCGTTGATACTGATGCATTACGTCAAGAAATTCCTGAACACTTAGTAATACAAATGAACGCACCTCACTAATACGAAAGTTTTTCACTTCATCGATATCATCGGTTGAATTGAACGGATTTACAATCGAATGAATGGGTAGTGTTGATCCAGATGCAGTGCACAGAATCTCACCGGCACCATTCAGCGATGACTGTTCGTTAGAGGTGGACGGTGGAGAATTGAACAGAGATGACGGTGTGTTGGTGGTTGTGAAGTGGTGAGTGTTCATCGCTGATTCATTGCGAAGTTTCAAATCACGGCTCATATGTTTTGACTCCTTTAACTGCTAAAAAATTATTTTTCCAGTCCTATGTGTACCACTGAAAAGTCTAGAATGGCAAAAGTCTAGGATGCACAGTATATGCGTTGGTATAAAGGCATTCTTCTGAACGCTCATTGAAAACCATGTGAGAAGACTGGCTGTGAGTTATCCAAGGAACTTTTCCTTAAGTAAAATATGGATACACGCACGAATTTGGGTGCGATCACACTTCAAAGTTGAAGTTTCTTCTCGAAATTTTTGGTGACTGGTAGTCACCGGCTTTAGAGTACCACACAAGAAAATGATTTATTGTGACACATCGGCTCCTACAGCCATCGTCTGGCAAACTTTGAATTGGATATGTATCTTATCGTATCTATTCATCTGGGTAAAGTTTCGCAAATGTTTACTTCTTCTCACCACTCAGAAACATGGATAGATGAGAATAGGCTTATGAGATTCGATTATTTTGAGTTGGAAGGAGATTACTTCGTTGAAATTATATGGTGGACGATAAAAGAAAGTGGTAACAAGGCTCAGTTAATGTCTGATATGATGCTTAAAGTCCGATCAAACTTCAGTCAAATTGAGAATTCTGTCGGATTTGTTCGAAATCTCACACTTCGGGAGAATGATTTGACTTGCTTTGATCTTTCCATTAAACTTGTTTCATTCAAAAATGAGATTTTAAGAATCAGATGGGGTTTTCAACTGTAGCCACTTCAATTTTTATCTCTGCTCAATACAGTTTAGAATGTACTGAAATCAGGTGAGCAGAATCAAGTACCGATTCGAGGCTGTTGATCTTATTTCGATAACTTTTGTTTTCGTTCTTCAACGTGTCAATTAATTTCGTCAATCTCTGAATATCCTCCACGAATTTCGCCTCCACATGCTGTCGGATTATCCTTTCGGACATCAGTTTCTGCTTATAAGCGTTCTTTTTATCCTCCTCTTTACGCAGTCGATAAGCAAACGACTCTAGTTTTGCTTCCAGTGCCTTAATATTCATATTTGATTACATTCCTTGACAAAAAGCGGTCCATAATGTGAGCACAAATAATAATGATATTAATAATAGTAATGAAAATAACGATAATAACTCGCTCCAAATACTACCTTGATAGTGTCATCACTCTTCAGTGTTCTCGATCTCCGTATTGAGTCATAAGAATCATCTGAATCACCCAATTCAGGGTCATAAGTGTTGATATTGATCGAAGACGACAAGTTTGTCTCTCTTCCAAATTCTGACGCATTACTGTACAATCGTTTGTTGTTGTATCTTGAACCGTTCTGAAAATTCATCNGGTTCAGTGTATGTTTGCTAATGCACAGTATCAAATGCAATCAAGCCTGTAACTACAGGGAATGATACAGATCCCCACTGTTCAAACATTTTTCTTCAGAATCGGGAATAGCTCTGTTAAAGTGAACCATTGAGGCATTAATGGGAAGTCGTTCTTTCCGCTTTCTCCCCAGTTTACCTGCCTCAGTGATCAAGGTCCTTTCAGTACCATGAGTACGTTCTTATCTTCGAAAGCAAACATTCTTATCTATTTTTATTCAGTGCTACCACGGAGAGTAGTACAGTCATCGATATTGAAGACAATGATGAACTTTGAAATTAATATTGAAAAATACCCTCTCTCTAAAAGGCTGCTCAAATCTAAAATGATCGTATTCATCGCGACCCACACCCACACACGATCGAGATCCTTTAGTCTGCTTAGGCTGGGTTACAGTATGATAGGGTGCAGATGGCTTCAAGAATGTGTCATCGGTGAATCTGGACGAATAACGTTTGGCATCACGTCTTACACTGCCACGTGATGATAAACGATGTCCACTTGATTCCTGCAAAGATACTGGATAATGAGTGTATTTACGACAATACTCTATATACAATATACAGTAATACTACTGATTAAAGTTTAATACAGCCTTGTGGCTGTGTTCATTCAGCTTTATTGGGCACTTTAGCTTTGAATAAGCTGAGTTTTATTCAATCCGATTCGAAGAACTTCACAATCTGGATATTGTGTCTATTGCATATCAATTTTGCGTATTGTGACTATCACCTGTTGTGAGTGGCTATTTGAGTATGGCAATTTGAATATAATTATTATTCGATACGGAACTAAAACTAAAATTGAAATTATCGTTTGATCTCAATTTGATATCGAGAGCAAAGTGAAATTCCTTATCAGTGATGTCTTTTGTAGAAATGATAACGATAGTTCCTTGGTGTTCTAATATTTGCTATTAAGTTTCATTGCCTTCACTATCACAATAATTGTGAAACTTAAAGCAATGAGTATAAGATTCGCACTGAACATAACGAATCTCAATTGATCGGCAAAAAATCTCAAATGCAAAATACCTCCTCAGTAGGCGCGTCATTTTCTTTATCGCCTCCTTTCTTCGATCGAAACATTTTCAGAAAATTCGACATTGTCGATGTGAAGACGCTCTTGGTTCACAGTTATGTTATATACACTAAAAACATTCACATCGATAATTACAATGAAAGCATTTTGATGTGAACGCAAGAAGAACGCGAATGGGGTTTGCACGAAACGGTCATGGAATTGTTTTTTTTTCAGAAATGCTAAAGAATCAGAATTAGAAACTTTCTTATCAAGAATTTTACTCTGTTGCTATTGCCACCACTAAAATCACACGATCAACTGGAACTGATCATCTTCCCAGTTTCATTTCCTTTCATTCCTCTAAATTCTTCTTTGAGATCATTCTAGACAAACACCTCAAGTTCGTGAGTACAAATCGCAAGGCGAGCACTCAAGGCTTTCACAAGAAAACTACATCAAAGGATTGATATGATGATAAGGAAGGAAGCATTTTGACAACCCAAGTAGATCATGTATGAAAGATGACGGACAACATCAGATTCAAAAAACTTGAGTTCAGATTGAAGATGTTCGAATCTGATAGTTTTTCAGCTGAACTAAACTGCTAAAGGATTCGCTGGCTATAATGAAATATTATTCTAACACAGGAATAATTAACCAAACTTTGATAGTACCGATAAGAACACGTAAAGTTAATGGACATAAATCGAAAGAAAACCAGAGTTGATAACATTTTTTGCAGAAAACTAAGGAGGAATTTCCACCTTCAGTTGGAAGAACATCATCTATCACCTAAGATGGGCATCATACAACCAAGTACTAACTGATGATAAAATGTGAACGATGGAATTTTTGCACCGTTCATAAATGTTTTCACCAATGTGATATTGCTTATCAAAGTGTCAATAATGTTGAGATTATAATTGTTTTGCAATAACGAATTGGATTATGAATATCTTAAAGCATTGACCGATCGTATTTTATGAGGTATGAGTTGTCAGTTTTGATATCGGAAATGAGATTACGGAAGAATCGGTTTCTGTTTGAAGTTAACGAGCGTCTAATGGTGCCTATCTATACACGAGGGATCAAGAGTTTCTTTTTTTCCTATATCGCTTGAGGCTGCGTTAGCTCGTTGACATTTAGAACGAGTGATTGACTGTGAGATTAGTTAGTGATTTAGATAACGTCGGATGTTAGACTGCCGGATATAGATATGCCAAATCTTTGGGATATTCTTTGAAGATGTCGGCAACATGATGAGTTCGATCGAAATGATAAATCAAGATCAAAATTTTAGTGGAGTTTATAACAGTGGATTGATTGATTGAGAACCTGTGCTCGATTAAGGATTTAATGGTCTTAGGCGATCAAAAATAATGGTAAATGAGAGTTGAATTGATTTGATATCGTCGAAGTTTAATTTAATTTTATTTTGGTATGATGAATGAAAATTTTAAAGTTTCTCGCATTCTTTAAGCGTGGAATATTAGTAAATCCTCATCAAGTAGTTTGATGTTCTTTATTAAAGAAAACTGGAACTTGATGAATAGTTTTAACGTGCATATGCAGTTGGATCATGATAATCTTTCGAAAGGCGTTTAGCATATAAAACAAACTGCTGAACGTAATCATTTTGGCTTTGTGCTTAATTTTGCAACGGTGATGACGTTAAGTCTGAGTGGTCGATAGGTAACCAGAATGGAAAAATTCCGTTGTCGTTGATTCGAAGAGCAATAAAGCGATAAAGCTCTAAATGCAATAGGAAGTGCAAATCGTCCATTTGTTCATCTGAAAATTTGCAACTTTTAAAGTATTTATATTCATATAACAACAGTCGAACGAAATTTGCGCGATGAATTGAGCGATTCTGTACGGTGCGAAAATGGAATCCTGAAATATCACCTGAAATTTGATTGGAAATTTGAATTCCTTGAGAGGACAGTGATAGTCTTTTGGGAAGATTTTTAAGCGTTCTAAAAGATGTTGAATTAGAAAATGCAAATGACGATAAGACAGAGTGAAGAATGTGTTCAAATCGAACACAACAGCAACAAATTGATCAAAGTGTTTCCTTCGATCAATCGATGCTGATCAGAGAGAGATGAACAGCAGCAACACGAAATCGACGCGCCATTTGACCGCCATCACTCGAACGATGCACCATTTCTTTGTGGGACCGACTGTTTGTTTCAGGCAAATTGCAAGGCCATATACACGATGCGATTATACCCTTTTAATGACCCAACCAATCCCGCTCTTAGCCATCCATCAAAGCCTTCGTTTAGAACAAAAACAACTCGCACAACAACGCAACAACACAAATAAAAAGCCAAACAAAAAACAACGCAGACTATCGAAACCAAATGAATCATTACAGAAGACTTAGTACAGCTCTTATGCATCATCCACACAGTGGAGTGCGCAAACGCAAAAGGGATTATAGGGAAGATGAATGAATGTCTTAACAACATCTCAGAAATCATTATTGATAAACGTACCCGTTAACACTTGTCTGCTTATTCCCATTATATTCACAATCAGTCAAATTCAACTGTAAATTTATCCGTAAGCGAAATTTTCTACAGTTCCGTTCGGAAACATTTTCTTGTCATTTTATGCGAAAATTGAGAACACACCGATGTTAATTTATATTGTACAGTCCACCATAATGACAGCAAACTTGCACCATACGCAGACAAATCTTGTATTTGGGTTCACTTGAATTCCATGGATTTCCAGCATTCCACCTCATAAAGATATAAAGATACACTTCCAATCAAAATGATTTGATCCTTCGACAACACACATATTTTTCTCAAACTCGAGATACAGCATTCGTTTGGAATATTCAAAGATTATCTCGTGAAAATTATACAGTTGAAAACTACCATTTACATCACTGACAATGATGTAAACGGCAGCTTTTCAACTGTACAATTTCCAAGAGATAATCTTCGAATATTCTCTCCCTTCAGTCCCTTTCCGTAATAGATGCGATGTTCTCACTGCAGTAGAGTGGAAGGAGATATTTAAATTATGAAATCTTGTCACGAAAAACTCACTGAACGAAGTTCTCGGATCAGAGGTGCGTCTAACATTGTTCGAATCAACAGAATATTTTTCGCAATGTCAACATCCATCATTCTTAACTGGTTCAGAAAAAGGCGCGAATTTCAAATTTCTCGGCAACGAGCGTAACACCAA